CCATCGAAACACTCTCTCCTTCCCAACACTGCGGTTACCCTATCCGTCGTCTATTGGTCTAAACACGCAAGATGAAACCGCCGCCTACTGGCCACCTCTCTCTCAGGCCTGTCTCTCGCAACACCGCCGCGTGCGGGCCAACTCGTAGACAGGCAAGAAGGAGGCTAGACATGACAAACGATACGACAGCAGCAAGACATACGAAATACGAAAGGGGCTAGCAATATAAAATGACATACACGGGAGATTGGTTCGGCGCCGGATTTGGCGCCCGTACACGGCGTAACGTACCAAAGGGGAAGAATGCAAGGCGAGGTGCGCAGACCCCAAAAAGGCGGCATAATTCTACAACCAACCACGACAAAAACAGAAAACCAATTGTCAACGCCGAAGGCCGGGGGGGGGGGGATTCACCCGCCCAGCGCGCGAAGGTTGTTGAACGCGGTGGGGTCGACTCGACTCGTGTCGCTGATACCGATCGATCTCGCGTCTCTCTGCGAAACACAAGGAAGCTTCCCATAAAAGCCTAGTCTACGCCCACACCACGAGAGACGGTCTTCATCACATCCCATAACCCACACGCGCTGCAAGAATCGGATTTTTTTTTTACCGCGTTCCAGCAGGATGTAGGCCCTACATACCAAAACATAAATATTACTTCGAAATCCAATTCCAACCACACGCACTCGGGGACTATGTTCTAGGCGAGAATGAACCTAAGCCACGCTCGTTGGTTCCGCGCATCTCCCTCCCCGCGCCCCCCAGAGACGGAAGAGATCTCCGGAGATCTCCGGATATCGATCCCTTCCACAACTGGCGGAGAACGCCCTCGCGCAGAAAAGAAAAACGACCGAAGCACAAAAATAGGCAAGGCAATGGTACGCAGCTATGTATTGCACACATCGATCGGTCTCTCTTCATCAATATTATACAGAGAGCCCACGTTAACGTTAACATGTACACGTAATACAAGAAAACACAACGACAGCAGTAGCGACCCTGGAAGATGACTTCTGCTCGTGAAGGGTCATTCATTAGATTGGGTTGCATTGCCTACTGTTTGCAAGACAACCACACACGGGTGGTTACAGCAACCGCCGTGCCGCACCGCACAGCACGACTGCGCCATGCATGACAGGTGGCTTTCCTAGTCTCCCTCCCTTACTTTTTGTGGTTCTGTGCCCTGGTGCTAGCACTCCCGGATGGGTTAACCCCCAGGATACAAATTCGTCGCCCTCTCATTCGAGGCCCAAACGTCCACCACACACGTACATAACCCCGGTTTTAACCCCGCTACCCACATCAATCCAAAACCTCAAATTTTCCACCACCATAAAAGAAAAGAAAAAAAAAACCGATCACCCTCAATTTCCAACTATTTCTAGTCTTCGTCACGAAAGACTTTCCCACACTCACTCCCACTGCTGCACACACTACCGAACACACTATTCCTTACAACGACAAACTCGATTGTACAGGGACAATCAGAGCAGTCAATGGCCGGCGTAACGGCCATCCACATCCCAAACCTCAATCCGACATCATGGACCACAACACGACCAAACCTACTAGCGCTGGTACAAGGCCACAAAGGCACTCCCACTCGTGATGCGTACCACAAGCAACCCAGAATCTTTGATACACAGCCTCCGACCGCACCATGCTTCCATCTGTTCTCACCAAGAAAAAAAACTACGCTCGTTGGCGCAAGACAACGCAACTTCGGACCGTGTGGATCTCCACAGAGAGACCCTCGACTGCTCGCAAATCTTTCGGCGGCAAAGGCGGAGATGGATGGATGGATCGATCGAACGATGGATCGATCGGATCTCGATCATGATGCCTGCCACCCGACCGTTCGCGAGAATGCCAAAAGTACATTTGACCGTCGAATGACAGCCCAGCCAGCAGGCCTTTGACCTAATGGTATGGACGACGTAATGTAATAACCGATCAGACCGACCGACCTCATAAAAATCCAATCGAAGCAAGCAATTCAACCAATCGATTGATCAATCGATCAATCCATCTATCAACAAGGAGCGGCCAATCGATCAACGTTTTTAATATCATCAATAATGGCCATCGCCCCCAAATGTCTGGTGGGGTTGGCTCTCGAGTCACCATCAAAAATTGAACAAATCCATAGCTAAAGTTACCGGCCATTATCATCAGTGCAGAGGGAAAACCATCTGCTGCTAATTCCACCACCCTCCAGCAAGCACGCGCTAAACAGCCGCCCCTCTCGCACGTGCAATCGCTCTAATCTGCACACGCCCCCACACCGTTAAACGTTTCCTCTTTATCCTTATCCTAAGCCCGCCCGCCCCACGCCCAGGCAGCCACCCCTCCGTTCGACGCCATCCTGGCCGCCACCGCCGCCCGCCTAGCGTCAGCGTCCTCCGGCGCCATCCCCTGCGGGGGCGGCCGCTGCTGCTGCCTTCTACGCACCCCGGGGGAACAAGACGAAGACCCTCCGCCTCCGCCGCCGCTGTTCCGAAAGTTCTCGCTAGCCGGAGACCGCGGAATCGCCAACGGCTGCTCCTGCTGCTGACGGTGGTGATGGTGCCCCACCGGACCGCCGCCGCCGCCACCCCGCGGCGGGGAGTACGCAGATCGGGGGGAACGAGGGGACCTGGGGGGGGGACCACCGCCGGCGGCGGCGGCGGAACCCCCCCCACCCACGCCGCTGAGCCCCCGTTGGCTCGGGAGGGGCGGCGTCCTACGCGGGGCCATCTCGTGCCTGCCGTAGCGGGGCGATGACGGCCCACCGCCACCACCGGCAGGCGGGGACGCGGACGGCGACGACAACGCTCTGCCGCTAGAGGAAGTCTCCTGTGGTTGCTGCCGCTGCTGGTGCTGGTGTTGCTGTCCAGCCCGAGAAAAACGCGGCGAGACCACCGGGACGGGACCGTGTGACTGGCGGTGGCGCGGCGACTGCTGCTGGGGCTCCGCGGACCGCCTGGCGGAACGGGGGGAGATGGGAGACGTCGGGGGGCGTCTTTCCATGGCACCACCACCACTGCTGCCGCCGCCGATGCCGGCCCCTGCCCTGCCCGTCTCGAAGTTGCTGCGCTCCAGCGCGGCTCGAGCGGTAGATGCTGCTGTCAAGGACAACTGTGTTGAGGTAAACGGAGGACGGACAAAGGCCAAAGGGAGGGGAAGAGCGGAAAGAGAAAAACTAACGGCAAACGTCGTGAACCACTGACGAGCGATGTCATACGGTCTTGAGGTGTGCAGACAAGACGCTGGAACATGAGCGGCCAACAAGGTCAGACACATGTTTTGAGATGTCATCAGAATCTGACACACAACAGCAGCGTTCATGTATGTCTCCACGACTCGAGAACACAACGCTCTCTCTAGCCCCGCTTCTGCAGCGGCTACCGTGGCTCCCGCTGCTCCGCACCCCAACGCTCACCTTCACCAGGCCCGCCCCCGCCTCAGCCGCCTCCCTCGCCTCCATCATCGACCGCTGCTCCTCCTCCGACGACACCGCGCGCGACGGAGGCAGCGAGCGGCTCTCTCCGCCGCCACCGCCACCGCCATCGCTGCCATCACCACCGCCGCGCTGCCCCCGGCGCTCAAGCGAGGGAGGCCGCCCACCGAGCATCACGGCCGCCGCCGCCGCCGTTTCCGCCGTCCCCGACGACAGCGTCCGGCCGTGCCGAGGCGGGGCGCCGCCGCTTGCCGTCGCCGACACCGGCAGCGGCGGCACCGAGGCCGCGCTGGTGGCGGAGCCGCTGGAGCCGGCGCGGTGTAGGTTTTTCTCGGCGGCGCGCTCCCTCCGGCAGACGAGGTTCCAACGGTTCTTCACGTCGTTGTCGCTGCGACCTTACGTAGTTGTTTTGGGAGTGGTAGACAAAAGGGAGCGGCAGCAGCAAGAGCAGCAGCAGCAGCAAGCGAGGGAGGTGACGGAGGGTTCTCGGGGGTGTGCCTTCCAGGGAAGGTCGGGGACACGTGAAAACATCAACATCCAAGGCAGAGGTCGTAGACAATGTACAGCAAAGAAATACCGACCGAACTGCCGCACATAACCAACACTCGGAAGACAGTTACGTAAGGTACTATCAATTATTGTTCACCTGGAATCTGACGCGCGATCTCCGCCCACTGGTTGTTGAGACGAGCGTGCAGGGACAGCAGCAGCCGCTCCTCTTCCTCGGTCCACGGTCCGTGACGGAGACTTGGGTCTAGGTGGTTCAGGTAACGCTCGCGGCACTGCTTGCCGACCCTCCCGGGCATGTGGTCGGAGATCTGTTATGCAGAGGGAGTGAGAGAACAACCGCCGGGGCAAGGAGGGGAAACCCTTCATCACTTTTGGTCTTGTTTTGGCAGCGGGAGAATAGGTTATCCTGCTTTGGAGCGGGAAACAAAAATTGGTCGTGCCATTGCTGTTCGTTGGAAGACCAAGGACAGGCTCCTCGACGACTATGGTAGCGAATTCTCGCTCGTAGCCGCCTAAGTCTAGCACAGCCGTCGATGTCACGCTACTGCTGCCGCTGTTGCCGAAAAAAAAAAGTTGACAGCTCAGTGGCCAGACTGACAACGCTGGTGTTGGGGACGTTGACGGCCTACAGGGCTGATGATACAACTGATCGCTCGTCTCCACCAGGGCTAGGAGATACTTGGGATGTAGGATAACGTAAGGATACATTGTTCGCAGCAAAACCGGGACAAGACTGCAACGATCGGGCATCCCACCGACATGGCGAACAATTTACAGCACGGCTGTTTCGGTCGACTTTGTGCACTCAATTCGGCGCAGAGCAGATTGACAGCGTGACAAACAAGCTTCCCCCACGGGTATGAAAACACGAGGACGAAGATTGGAACCTACTGCTACAGCCGAACGTTGAAACCTACTGCTATCACCCTACGGGGGTTGGACGCCGCCCGACAAAAAACTTGCAAACACAAGACCCGCGTCATCACCACGCTCTCGCACCTGGGACCACTTGACGCCGAATATGCCCACGAGAGCGTTGAGGCGATCATCCTCGTCCTTCGTCCAGGAGCCGACCCCCTTCGGCCCCCTCCCCGTTGACCCCGTGGCTACCCCCACCCCGCCCGGGGATCCAAACGGCAGGGCCCCGCTGCCTCCCCCGCCGCTGCCGGGCGTCATCGTGCCGCTGCTGCTGCTACTGCCCTTCCTCTGCAGCAGCAAGGGGGAAGGCTGCGTCGGGGACGGGTATCCCCGCTGCTGCAAGACGCCGCGCGCGGCGGCAGGCCCCCTCGCCTCCGGCTGCGACGCGGTCGCCGCCACCGCCGCCGCCGCCGCCGCGACGGCGGCTCCGAGCGCGGCGTCATCTGCTGGCGCCATCAAGGGAGGCATCCTGTCGTGGTGCTGGAGGTGGTGGTGGTGGTGGTGATGCTCCGCGACGGGCACGCCCCAGCGGTAGCTCACCCCTCCGGCCGGGCTACCCGCCGCCGCCACCAGCGCGGCGCCCCCGCCGGCGCCGGCGCCGTTGTGGCCGGGCGTCGTCGAGGTGGCCGCGCTGTTGCTGCTGCAGCTGCTGTTGTTCCGGGAGAGCTCGGAGGGGGGCACCGTGGGATAGGGCGGGCGAGTACCCCCCAGGGCCCACTTTCTGGCGCACTGGGTGGGAGACCTGTTGTTGAAGTGCACGGAGACTTCGTCCCACCGTCCGGAACCTGAAAACGACGAAAAGTCACGGCAGCGGCAGGGGTGCGAAGGGCAAAACCGCCTGTTTGTGTGACGAAGGTTTTAATTCCGTCTGGCGGCACTCATCACTCATCTGTTCAGTGAAAAAGCTAAAACAGACTTACTTCCCCTCAACCGTCACTATAATACTGCTGTAGAGACCGCAACGAGCCATCCACTCCTTGGTCGAACGGGGTGCTACATACCTACCTCCAACGGGCGGTCAGTTGTACGGATAGAATACGTTCACGTCACCAACAATGCAAATGTTTAAGATAACAATGACCTCGGCGAGGGGATTTGGCCTTCCGTGAGTGGAGTGGTTCAATCGCCTGTCTATCAGCGCTGCGAGATGGGGTGCACCTCGAACTGGATTAAACACTTTCAAAAGTAACTTGATGAAGTTAATTAACTGACTTTCGTGAGGGCGTGCCGCCAATTCGAAGAACCGGTTGGACGGAAGATGCAAGTAGAAAAAGACGCTTGTCGATCAATATTGTCAAGCAAGACCAACACGACCACCACAAGCACAAACACAAACACAAACAGCACCAACCGGCACTGGCATCATACAATAACCTACCGAAGTTGCGCACGAGTGCCTCAAGCAGCTCCACCTCACGCGCTGACCACGGCTCCTCTTCGTCATCCTCCCCTCCCGAGCTCATGCCCTCCCTTGGAGACTGATTGTCCAGGCCGCGTGGTCTCGAGACGCCCATGGACGGTGAGGGCGAAGGCGAGGAGGCTATGCCTTTCGGTTTCAGCATCGGTGGAAAAGGAGGCAACAGAGACAGACAAGACGATGTGAGCATGTAAGCATTTTCATAGTGTTCATCGGTAGCGGAACCACAAGAAAAGGGTTTCGACGGCATGAGCTTTTCTTGTAACGAAAACACACGCAGAAGGAAGGTTCAATGTACAAGAAATACATCGATCAGGCGCAGGCGCTCATTGTAGTGGGTGGCAGGCACACCGCACACCACTCATTGAAACACACAAGCGACACGACCTTCCACATCCAAAGCAACGGGGTACTGGTCTACATCGCAGCATGCTGGTATCCCAATCCGCAAGTCCGATAAATTCCATTCAGTAGGTCGCACGAGACATGCGGGAAATTGGTCGTGAGCGACAACGCTTTGGTCGATCACCACAAACGGGCGGCCCGCGCGTGGCGAGTGGTGGGGGGTAGGTGCTGTGGAGGCGGTACGTGTCAAGATGATACGGCTACACGCCGGGTACAAGTAGGCGCGCAGTTATTCCGTGACCGAGACAACGTCGTTCGGAGATGGGGGAATGGCACCACATCTGGCAAGCCAACAAACACAGAGGGGGGGGGGGGCAAAGGGGGAGAGCCTTGTAGTACAATACAACCCAGCGCACGCGCCGCCGTCCTCGCTACTCTCGCTTGAAGCGGTAGAAAGAGGAGGTGCTCCTATGTAAGCAAAAGACACCACTGCCGTCTCGAGTTGACTTGGCTCATGACTTACCCTGATCCCGCGGCACTCGCGCCTGGTTGCTGCAGTGGCTTCTCTGGTGCTTCTTGACCTTCTCTAGTTGGTGGTGATGGAATCGCATGCCCTTCTTGACACCCTCCTGAAAACACACGCACAAGAGACACACGAAGAATGAAAAACGAACAATGCAAAAGAAAAAGTTGAAACAACCCTTGCACACGTTCCCCGCCAAGAATATTATCAATGGTGGCAAAGCAAGAAAGAGCGTTAAAAAAAAAAGGTGAAAAAACTGCAGATATAGCAATGTAGAGTCTGGATTCTGTCAAGAACAATAATAAATAGACCACAGAAATGCATCAATCGCCCACGTTGCCAAACAGCAACACGCAGAGTACAAGCATGCTATTTCCGTGTTTCCTTTGTCTGTCGGTCCGTCAAACATGTGATAATTATCGATATTCTTGCGTGAATCATTTTCTGCGCGAGGCCTCAGAAAGAAAGTGCCCGGTGGTGTCTCAGATTCTCTTGCAGGTCTCCACCTACAAACCCATCCATACCAACTCCAATTCCCTCCATACTCTCTTGAATCGTGGGTCTTTTTTACGCTCTGACAGCGGCAAGGAAGCGATGTGCGAGCGCCGCCCGCGTCACTGCCGGCCACATCAACCGTGGACCGTGGACCGTGGAGAAACTGTCGGAAAGGAAAGAATAAATGAATGCATCTGCTCCGCGTACCTGGTGGACATGGGAGCACGTGGCGTGGTAGTGCTTGCGGTGGGACACCATCGTCTGCGGGTTCCTGTACACACACTGCTCCGCCTTGCAGATCTGGATACGCGACGGACGAAAGCATGCGTAAACGAAGGCACCGCCGTAACCATGTAAGACACGAGAAGAGAGAGAGAGAGAGAGAGAGAGAGAGAGAGAGAGAGAGAGAGAGAGAGGAAAGCACACACCACCAAAGGCGCGGCACCAGCGACACCAAGAGTCCGCGTGGGAACAGTTGGGGCGAGCAGGGAGGGCACAAGACGGAGCGGCGTGCATGTTGTCTCTGGGGTTTGGATCCGAACTACAGATGCCGCAATCGGAAATTTCCTCCCTGAGAGGGTGCTCTGTCTGGCGCCCATGCACAGCAACACATGCCACGCACACATGACATCAATATCCACACATGACAGACACATGCACGGCTCGAAACACAGAACAAGTTTACAAACATGATACACGTGCGACAAGCGACCTCACCTCACGCCGAGTCACCACCCGCCACAGCGACTCGTCCAGCTCGAAGAACGTGTCCTGCTGCAGCTGCCTCTCCAGCGACCCCATCGCGCTGTAGTTGCTGTACGCGCTCATCTCGGACAAGTCCGAGTCGTAGTCCGACTCGTACGTCCCGCTCCCTGCACCCCCTCCTCCCCCTCCACCACCGCCACCGCCGCCACCGCTCCCGAAGCCCTCACCCCCAACCACCCCACCGCCGGCGCCTGCGCCTGCGCCTGCGCCGCCTGCGCCTGCGCCTGCGCCGCCTGCGCCAACGTACACGCCTTTGCTGACCCCGGGCCTCGACCGCACGCCTCTGGGAGCCGATCGGCCGCCGCTCAGTCGTCGGGTGCCCCTCCGCCTCATCCCCGCGCTCCCGGGCGCGTGGGCCGGGGACGGAGGCGCCCTCCTCGGCGACGGCGAGTGTGTCGACCCGCGCGAGAGAACGCCCCCGGCTCTCCGGTACTCCCGCCCGGGGGACGGCGGGAACGGGCTCGGGGGCCGGCCCATGGCGTTGGCGTTGGCCGACGGCTGGACCATCGCGGAGGAGGCCGAAGCCACCGAAGTTACGGGGGAAGGGGTGGGGAGTATCCCTCCCGCCTGCGCGTTCTCGTTGGGGATCCACTCCACGTCCATGGGGTTCTTGCTCACACCCCCGGCGGCGGCGGCGGCAGCGGCAGCTTCGGGGCCTACGCCCGCCGAAGAAGATCCTGTCTCCGTTTCCACGGGGGTGTTGTTGGCGTTGCTGCCGCCGCCAGCCATGGCGTGTCCACTTACCGTGACGGAAAACTTGTCGTGCGCCTGCGACCGCAGCGGGTACTCGCGCCCGCCGCTGGCCCTGTCCCCGTGCGAGCTCGGGTAAGACACCAGGGGGGAGAAGCACGTACCAACGCCGCCGCCCACGCCGCCGCCCACAACGGCCACGCCGTTGTTACCGACGGCCATGAGCCGCGGGGGGCGGGAGGGTGACTCCAGAAGCCGGGTTGTTGTGCCGTCGGGGTTGCTGCCGCCGCCGCTGGTGCTGCTGTCCTTCGTGTCGAAGACTCCCTCGACGCTGCGCCGCCGGCCGCGAGGCGAGGGGCACATGGCCGGACCGCCCGGGTCTGCGTCCATCGCGACCGTGAGAGAACGCTTGCGGACGAGGGGAGGTCTGCCGCCCTCCCCGCCGCCCCCGGGGGTACTCGCTCGGGAGCTTGGTGGGCCGCCACCGCCCAAGGGGGTGTAGGTGAAGTCCCCCCCCGCCCCGCCGCCCACGGAGGACGACGCGCTGTCCTGCCTCTGGTAGCTGTTGAAGACGGAGGGCGGGGCGGAGGACGACCCACCCCTCTCCGTCGCCGAGGCGGTGTTGGCGCCACCGTCGTGGCTCCCTCCTTTGCGTACAAGGCCACCGGCAATGCTGCCGTTGTTGTTGTTGCTGCTGCTGGATGTGTCGTTGTCCTCGGAGGAGAGGAGAGAGGTAATCGCAATGCCACCGCCCCTGATCTGCACCCGCGCCGCTCCTCCTCCGCCGCCGCCGCCGCCCCCTGCGGAGCCGGCACTCCGCCGCCTGTTGTTGTCGCGTGCGACGTCTCCGCCGTAACGGTCAAGCCCCGCCGCGTTCGCACCCCCAATCGTGCCGTTGGAGAATTCCCCGGCAGATGAGAATCTCCTGACGTGACGTGAACCGACCGGCCGGGGTACCCCGTCTTCGCCGATCCTGGCAGCTGCTGCCGCAACGGCACCGGTGGTGGCAGCAGCATGGGGAGACGCCGAGCTCTCCCTGCCGCTGGAGATGCCACCGCGGTTCTGGATGTAGGCCTTCCTGCTGCGGTGATAGGAGCCCCCTTCTGCTCTGCTGCTGCTACTGCTGCTGCCGCTGGCAGAAGCTGGCGCCAGCGATGCTGCTGCTGCTGCTGCTGCAGCAGCAGCCGAGCCAATTCGGATTCCTTCGCCACTGTTGCTGCCGCTATCCCGACCGCCGCCGCCTCCTCCTGCAGAAAAGGCAGAAGCAGTCTGTCCTGTGGCAGAGTCGATCTCGAATTTCGGACGCATCCTGGAATCCGCCGTCTCGGCAAGGGCAGCGGCAGCGGCGGGCGAAGCGGCGGGAGAAGGATTTCTCACTGCTACATCCCCCCCCGGCGCGTTCGCGTTCGGTGATCCTGCTGCTGCTGCTGCTGTCGATTGTTGATCCAAGCTCCTCCTGGGGCGCGCGAACTCGGTGTACCTCTGCGAATAGTGCGGCTGCTGCTGATGCCATTCCTCGGCGGTGCTGCTGTTGGCCCCACCACGCCAAGCCTCGCTCTCGGACCTGGAAGGGAGCGCCCCGGGCTTTGCTGTTGCCGTTGCAGCAGCAGTGGACATGGCCGAAGACAGCGAGGGTAGGGGAGAGGAGTTCGCCGTTCTTACCCCTACAGGTGCCAAGGAGATGGGCAAACGTCGGCGGGGGGGAATTTGCGCCGCTTGCTGCTGGTGTTGCTTTGCCTGGGGAGCGAAGGCCGGGCGCAGGGCGTCGAGCTCGGGAGGGGCGTCGTCCCCTGCAACGACCGCCGCTCCGTCCGCGCCCTTCATGGAGCTCGCCCACGCCGTGCCCGGGCCGCTGCTCCCGGCCGATGGTGCCGCCGTCGGGGGCGACATTCGCTCGCAGAAGCTGTTTCTCGACAGGTGGTGATGATGTAGTTGCTGGCGCGCGGTAGACCCGCCGCCGCCGCTGCCTGGGTCGGCCGGCTCCCGAGCAGCGGGTCGCCCCGGCGCGAACGCTGGTGCTGGTGCTGTGGCTGCTGGCGGTCCTCTCTTTGTCTTGGAGCTGTTGTTGTCGCCGTCCTGCTGCTGCTGCATTCTCAGGCCAGCATGGTGCATCTGACGGCGGTGGTAGTGGGCAGTAAAATGGACAAGCAACAACAAACGACGACAACAAAAGAAGTCGTGGTTTTTTTTTATTTTGGTAGAGGCGCGGGAAAAGCAGTGCCACTTGTTCTGGATGGTGTCACAGAACAGGGGTATATAGGTTTTAGTGTGGGAGTGCCGTTCAGTCGAACGTCCGCCCCCGTTATTCGTTCTCTCTTTAAATATGCACTTCTCAAGGTTTTGACACATGTTTCTAGGAAAATGCAACTTTTTCGCAATGGAGATGACGTGTATGCCCATTTATGGCGCCAAAGCGCCTTCGGACGGTGGATATACATGCCACAGACACACGGCACCTGACGGCGGTGCACCCCCGGCGAGAGATTCGTTCGGGTGAGAAAAAGGGAACAGAAACAGGAGGAGGAGCAAGTCCTCTCGTTCTGCGTTCTCTCTCTCCGCCGGGGGGCCCGTTCAACTAGAAGCGAACGGATCTTGTCTGCAGGCACCAGTAGGGCAAGTCACCTCTCGCTGCTGCTGCACATCTGCAAGTACTTTTTGCTTTCTCCAACTTTCTCTCGAAGTAATTTTTTCCGCTCACAGATGAATGCATGCACTCGACCTTTTCACGTACGCTTTTTCGTGGCCGTGGGCGGCCATGCTCCATCCTGCCTCTTGAGTGTCCTGCTTGCTTTTACGGGCCGGCCGGCGCAGAGGGCAGTCCGCTGTCTCGGTCTCGCATCAAGACCGTCAAGAAAGAGATGGTGATTTGCGACTTTTTTTTTTTTTAATTTCCACACACCGGTGCTTGTGTTTGTCCGACACCCTCGGCTCTATCTTATATGACTCTTACGTGCAAGTGCTGCTACTGCCGGGCCGAAACAAAATCCGCGTCTGATGCAACGAAGGTGTGTTTGCGGTACCGGTGTGATGTCGGATCGGAGTGCGTCAGTCGGTCAGCCGGAGAGGCGCAACATCTAGGCGAGGTTGTTGTCGTTCTGCAAGCATTTTGGGAAGTCGGGAAACTAATTATTAAAGGCCGAGATGAATTATTTCGTGGGGACAAGTAGAATTAACAACTCCAGTTTAATAAAAATATAACTCCAGCCTCTATTTGTAGCCTGTTGTTGTTGTCTTCACATCAAAAAAAAAAAAGTACAAGCTAGCCCTCAAGACATCAAGACATCAAGACCCCAGCCGGCCGGCTCCACCTATCTTCGTAAGACCAAAATAAGAGCAAACTTAGTTGGCGGAGAGGGCCGGTACGCCGGTACGGCGGCCGGTACCGTTCCTCACACACCCAGCAGTCAAGTCCGAAGACTTGTTGCTTGGGAAAGTAATGGAGAGGGACGTGGCCGGAGGGAAAACGCGAGCCTTGTTCCCCTACCTCTACCGCCGAGGTGCATCAGCATCGGTATGGCTGGTAGCCTGTGGGGCGTTGTTGGGGGTACTGCTGTCACCGGAGATCATGAAGTACCTTGCTCGCCTAAGAAGTAGCAGTGTTGAACCCGGCGACGGAGAGGAGAGCATCGCCTGGGAGGTGAGATACACTGAGCAAAGAGACAATGTATCAACCTACGTTGCACCCGGTGCTGCACACGCAGCAGCTGTGAGCCTCGTCGTCCAAATATACTGGAGTAGTTGGTTGTGCGTACTTACTTGCATCCAAACACGCTGTATGGTAACAGCAGTTTGTGTAGGTGCGAACCCATCATCAAGCGATGGATCAATCAAGTGATCCAAGGTGACGAGCCATCACCATTCTCCAGCACCCCAGGCCATGGTGACACCCGATCTTTTGCATCTTATTCAAAACTCATCGAGGAGCAACACAACTTAGCTGGCACCAGGTGACCAATGCTTTTTGGTGGTACTGATGTTTCAGACAAACGCTGCTCGGCAGACCCACCACGTGGCTGTTGGGTGTACATGTCTTGAACAACGGGCGCTTGTAACGTAATTCAACTTGGCGACAACGTGTAAACTGGACGTTAAGACACAACAGTCGCCACCTTCTAACAGCATCGTGTAGTGTGGCCAAGGCACCTGGTGTTGACACTACGCAACCTTTTGGCAACAGGTCCCGCCTCGTCGCCCGTCATGTCTGTCATTCTGAAGATAGCACCCCCCCCCACCGTACCGCCGGCCACCCACGGGCGCACGGCGCACTTTTCTAGAGAAGACATCATCGCCACCACCGTCCCTCTGCTCGTCCTTACTACCGTAGGTTGCATAACATACCGCACCCCCTGGACCAATATTCAAATCTCGGTTCCTCCACGATGGAGAGGATGCCGATATCAAAACATGCGTTTTCGGAAAGCTCTCGTACATAGACGGCCGCAATTTTCGGCACCGGTACCGCTTTTCCTGCCGAGTACTTGAGCCATGATGTTAGCTGCCTCCGCGCCTTCCCACGGAGGCTACCTCGCCTTTCCACGGTAGTATGGACTGCATCTGGGCACGATGTTAACCCAGGACCGATGTAGATGACACAAGACATAAAACCTTGATCATTATCATTACACACCGTGCTCCTTCCAGCATACACAAGTACCACGTAAACACATTTGCAAGAGTAAAGACGTACACACATGTGCGTGCTCTCTCTCTCTCTCGAGGGGTCCCGCACTTGGACCCCCAACAGCATGCCCCCCCTCCACAACTCCAGATCGGATATTGCATCCAAGTAGTACCCCAACACATTAAAATTGGTCCAGGGAGTGTGATATCTTACGCAACCTATGGTATTTAATTTTGTTTGCATTCAGGGGAATGCTTGTCAAGCGAAAACCCACACGAAGCACATTTGACCGTGCGAAATCCACGCTGCCCAAGTTTTGGTATGTGCTGAACCTGATTGCCGTATTTTCGTCTTGGAAAGTTTAGATAGAACTAAAATCCAGCCAAGACGCGGAATGACGGTGGGGCCGATACGACACACGCTTGTGCAACCTTTTAGCCCCTTTACCTGACTTGATATGTGCACCACTTGAACCCTTCCCACTTGGCGTGACCTGGCTCACGGTATTTACCGTGGAAGTAGTCCGGACTGACTCGACGTTGAGAGCGAGAGCGAGTCATGGCCCGTGAAACGCCGTGAAAAAGCAATAATGGAAACAGGGCGAGTACATTAGAGCCGCTCACGATCAACTCTCATCTCGCTGCCTAGACAACGCAACCGTTAGACAATGACGAGAACGGCACAGCGACGGCGACAGCAATAGCCGTTGCCTTGGCGAAAGTGCGGGAAGCCGGGTGATAGATGCATATATCAGCTGCCGCAGCAGTTTGACGAAAGAGGATGCGATCGTGCAGCCTACATAGTCAGGCACCAGCACCGGCACGACCGCCCCTATCGCTACCAGGAGAGGGCCGGTGGACGGGACACTGCTAGGGGGGGGGGTTCGACCGCCGTTCCACCTTTCGCAAGAGACTTTCCATGCCAGCGCCAGCACCAAACAGCAGTTGGTAGTTGGTAGTTGTTTGGGGCACATGTGGAAGAGACAACAGCTAAATAGGCATATTTTTTTGTTTGCTTGTTCTCTTGGATGTTTTCATCCATCCCCCCTTCTCCGCCGTCCTTCCCTTACCGCGCTCGCAGCTGGTTGAAGACAGCGGCGGGTTTCGAACCTTTTCTTCGCGGGTACAGGGCAGCAGCTCGTTGGCCCTTCGGGGCGAAACAACCGTTGACGAACACATCGGCCGACTGTACACGGCGTTTCTGAACACGACTTCCACGTTGGACTGGGTACGATTTCTGGTGGAGGTTGAGGAACTCCCGACGCAGGCCTCTTCAAGGCGGGGGGGCAGCGGCGATGGGGACGTGTTATTCCAGAAGTACGACATGCCGTGGCCCGTGAAGGACAGGGAGGTGGTGATTCGAAGAAGCGTGCGACTGGACAAGCGAGCCAAGAAGATGATCGCATCATGTACGGTTATCATTAATGGCGGTATCATGCCCGATGCACTCCGACATTACGGTGTTGTTGCCGCCATGCACACGCAGGATTTCGGCTTAAGAGTTGCCGTGATGCGGTAGGCCAAAGACGTTGAGGCGGCTTGTAGAGGGAGGAGGAGAGAGGAGTCAGAGTTAGTTGCATGTAGCTCCTGTTCCCATGGCGCGCACGCTTTCACGAACCCTTTGTTGTGCTGCACATCGTACTTTTCAGACCCAATCACGAACCCATCATTGGGCTGCACACTGTTCTTGCAGACCAATCGCACACACATTTATGTTGTGCCGCGCGTGGCACTTGCAAACCAACCGCAAAACCCATTACATTGTGCCGCGCGTTGTACTTACAGACCAATCACAAACCCATTTTATTGTGCCGCGCGTTGCACACGCAGACCATTCACAAATGCCGCGCGTTGTCCTTGCAGACCAATCAACGGATCACCCGGCGAGGCCCATCACCAGCGCCACCGTGCGGGCCATCGTTTACCGAACCAGTTGGATCTTGACGTCCCTTGGGAGCTCGAAAACGTCGATAGAGTTCGAGACGAGAACGGACCCCAAGGGATCTCTGCCGTCGGCGATGGTCGGCTTCTTGCAAGTCAAGTTTCCTCGTGAGACGGTAGCCGGATTTGTGAGCAGCGCCAGAAACGTAGAGCTCCATCCGGCCATGACGAAGTGGTGAATATTTTTTGTTGTTGTTGTGCATTTTCTTGTTGAATAGAGTTTTGCGCGTGAATTATGTGCGGTGTGGTTTTGAGACTGATTTTTTTGTGCGGAGAGTGTTTTATGCATACAATCAAGATTGATAGACGGCGGTGATAAAAGCTTTTTTACCCCCTCTTTTTTGGGGGGGCAGGGGTGTTGGATTTGGTAGTCACGAAAAGTGGTGTGGTGCTATGCATGGAACGCCTCGTGGAGGGTAGATTTGTCGCGAGGGGAGGGTTGCTAAGTGACACAGACTGATTGACGATGCAAGTCAACAGGAAAATGCTCCGTTGCTTGAAGATTGATATCTAGATAGAACTGTTACTGTCTGACCCGCATAGATGCTTGATTGTGGGAGTTTACTATTCTTGTTCTGTCATGCGGCCTGGTCTCATCGCTTGTGGTTCCCAGTCCCGTGGTGTGTTGTGTACCTTCCCAAGGTCCGTACAACAACAGCTAGTACATGACTCGTTTGGTTGGTTTGGGCAATCAAGGAAAACACTGTTTTTGTCACAAGCCCTGTTTGTTCGCAATGAGTTAGACTTAGACGGGAGCGCCAAGCGGCCGCGCATCGCACCGCCTAATGTGCAGCGGGCGGTTGTCGCAGCTTACGAAATAACCTACCAGACACAGCAGATGCAGTGGCAACAATGGAGACATGCTTGGTCAGCAGGTTGAGTTGAAGAACCTATTGCTGCAGTTGCTTTCTGCGGAATTGCAGCGAGGGGAAGACGGAAGGTTGGTTGTAAGTGTGGTTGACGGCTACGAGCCCGAGTGCACCGTACGTTCGATGCCGCTCAGGGTCGTCGCGCGGAAGTTTTTTGCGCCTGGTGTGAAGCATCTTGTGGGTCCGTGTTTGTCGTGTCCGTGGTGAGCGTTTGACGTTTCTAGACCGGGATTTTTGCAGGCCTTCCTCAAAGCTGCAACAAGCGGTTCAAGGTTTCGATTACAGAGTGAACGAGTGAACTAGATAACCCGTTGTCGAGAATGTATTTCGCAATTTTTTGTTGCTTGCGCACGGCGGTTGGTTGCGTGCTTCCGTCGTTCTTCTAGGGGTGGTTCCGCTTTTCCTTCCACCAGTGAGTCGGACACACTTCACACTGGTGAGATGACGTTGCGGACTTGCCCGTGTGCCCACCTCTTGGTTCCGGCTCATCAGCGGTGTGGGACATTTGTATCTACAATAGGATTCTGTCACGCTCCTCTTGACCGTTTCAGTTTCTGCTGTGACTACTAAATATACGGAAAAAACGTCTCAGCGGCTTCGGGGGACCCACGATTCTGTAGGTCAAATCTGGAGTAGTGTCTGTGGAAATCAACGACTAGACTATATGCGAAACCGACGGAGACACGAACTGGTTTAAGTTTCGCTTGTGGTTTGAGCTACAAGGGAAATAAAGTGTGTGGACCTCTGTTCGGTTCATCCTTCCACCAGGATACAGAACCAAGACTTGCGTGGATTCTTCGCCGAGGGTTTTGTTCCCGAGGTTTTCTCATTGGATTCTCTCGTGGAACGGATAGAATCGTAGCTGCTGCACACCTCCATCCCTTCGCACAAGTTTGATGTAGTACTCTTCATCGAACTTTTGAGAACCAACGTCCTTCGATCGATCTCTCGTCTCACTCACCCGACTTCTAGTCTAGACTACAAGGCTTTTCTCCTTTTTTTCGATTTTGCAGCCTTTGACGACATACCAAAGCTCCACACACCCCACGCGGCGTTTCGAGTTTCGACCCAACCCCGTCGCGGCCTGAACATCCATCGCATCGACCGTCTGACACAGCGTGTCCACTGCACACCTGTCCCAAACAGCTATTGGCTGTCCAGCCGTTACTGCGTGCGTAACCCGATCTTTTTGTCTTGAGTCTCGTCCAGAACACGGCCTTATTTTTTTGTGGTGTTCCTGCTGTCTTTTTTTTTTTTTTTTGTTCTTCACTTCAAATCAGCGCTCACAGCACTAGTGCCGTTTATTCCAACCCGTCGTCACACAGAAGAGCCTATCTCTACCCTGTCTATACCGATATGGATCCCTTGGGTTGTTTATCGGCTGTAAGAGTGTCTTTTCTCTTGACATCTGGCCCATCTTCGATCCTTTTTACATGGTCATATCTTGTCAGTCTCCCCGTACCAGCTCTCTCGCTCTATGCGTCTCATGTGTCGGTGTGGACGATGGATGGTTGCTGAGTGCAAGAGCTGCAAGAGCACTCCATGTTCGACGGCAACGTGATCCTGCGGAGCCCCTATGGGAGCCTCGCACGGCTGAGTCCACCCTCACAGGAGTACCCGCATCTGGCTAGCCTTGGCATAACACACACCCATGGACCCTGGCGACAGCAGCCAGGCTGCGCAGCTTCCACCCATAGGAGGAAGAGTTGTTGATGGTAACGGCTTCCGTGCCACCGTGCGGTACGTGGGTCCTGTCTGCACAGCGAAAGAACCAACAACGCCATGGATCGGTGAGAGAGCCAGACACTTTGTTGTAAGTCTGCTGTCACTGCTGTAGTCAAGAGTACACAAGATCCGTCTCCTGCTGAGCCCCATCCCCAGACGTATGATGCACCTCGACCTCGAGTTCTACTACAATTGCACTCCTGCGTTTCATTTTTGGCTATTCTCTCGGGTTGCTGTACTGCTGTAGTCTTGGTATACGTGCAACATACCGTGTAGTTTTGAATTGCCTCCTGTCGTGTACAACGTATCTATGTCTGTGGGCTGGGTCCTGCGACGCCTCGACATGCAGTATGGGGACATGTCTACCGTAGTCACACCGATACAGCTGTATGGCTGAAGTGGGCTAACCAGTCTAGGGCGCGAATAGAACAACCAAACCACATGTTGAAATCGATGCCCCGCACAAGTACCGCAGCAGTATGCCACGCAAGATAACACCCCCGCCGGAGATACAGCAGTTCTGTACCACATGGTATGTCAGATACCTACACAAGAAGTCTGATTTCCGACTAACCGAGAGACTGGCTCAAAGGTGCCGTATAAGTATGCATAGCCGCTGGTGCTTTACCCACATACTGCCGTAAACACACCACCTGTGGGCACGCATAAGCGGCAGGTGTGAAGAGAAAAAAATGACAAAAACGCCGCTCACCGACGTGCACCGGCTGCAAAAAATGTACATATCTACAGCTGTAGCATACTCCAGAACCAATCATGGATGTTTCACTGCTGCAAAGACCACATGCTTAGTACGCCTACATCAACGATGTGGGCGACTACCGCTGTTGTCCACCAAACATGCTCCTATCGGCCAACGTTTCAATTGTATTGTACAGGGGTGGAGTTCGATGACCCTGCAAGGGGCAAGCACGACGGGGCCGTAGAGAAACCAGACGTGAGTGTCCACCAATCAGCAACAAGAACAAGAAATGAGGAGGCAGTTTCCCCCCTTCCAGAAGACTTGCGTCCTCATCTTGTCTCGGGCACAACGGCGGCACTCGTTGAGCAGTTTGTTACAAAAGACGTCCAAGATTCGCGTTTTCTGTTGAACATCGGGTTGGGTATCTGGTCAAGTCGGCTCTTGTTGTTCTGCGGTATGCTAAATCGTAAGAGTCAAAGACGGATTCGGTATGGCAAAACAACGTGTTTGGTGCTGTTGTTGGAGCGAGCGTGCCTCTCCTTGGTCGCGGAAAGAAACTGAAAACGGTACAATACTTCTGTGAGGAACAACTAGATTATACAGAAGAGGTGGCGAGCAGCGGGCACCCCAACAGTGCCTATTCGTGTATAGCGTTGTTGGTGATCGGTTGATCGTTCTCGCACTGCACAAGTGTTGGAGATGCTCCAAGATCTTTCTCTTGAATCGCCCGAACGAGACACTGGCTCCGTTGACATTTGTTTTAGTCGCCCACTGCAGCAGCGAAGGGCAAGGGCACCTCTGCAATGCTTGGTCAGGCAGTAGTGCGCCCTTCGTCCACGGAGAGGCTTCTCCTGTTGCCCGGCTATACCAAGGGGTGCGATGCCCCCGCCCGCATTTCCTCCTCTTCTGTCCTGTCCATGCCTTGCTGACCTCTCTCTTTCGTTGTCCCGCACTTACTCCGTCTGTCTGTCTGTCTGTCTGTCTGCCTGTTTCTCTCTCTTTGTGGACGTGTCTCTCTCTCTCCCTCTTTCTCCTCCCCTCTACCCCTCTCTCCAATTGTGCACGTCATGTCGATAGGGCTCGAGTCTGCGCTACTTCACGTGCGTCAATGGTGGGAGCGGCAGCTTTCTTAAGCCGGGCAAGTTCTCCACCGGGATTTCCATGGCGGAGGCGCTGCGGCAGCAGTACGTCGACATGAACGCACCCCTCCTGGCACCGGAAAACCTGCTCCCCGATGCCTACGCTTCTACCTCCAAGGGTGGCAAGAAGGTGCAGACATGCATGCCCTTGGGCAAGTGTGCAACTCCTTTCAGAAGAAAGAGCCAGATCATGTCCGATCTCGAGGTGGTGCAGATCAGGTCCGATGTCCCTGCAGGGTTTCATCGTATATCGGCTAGAGCTTTGGAGAATTGCATCAAGCGGGGGGTACTGTTTTTTTTTTTTGCAGCAAAGCAGTGGCGGTACGGTATGGCGCTCGTCTTGTACGACATCCGATATCCGGGCTGCTATCAACCAGGCCGGCTCAAACAAGGATATCTCAGATTTTTCGGCGGTTCCTTTATTAGGTGCAAAGCTCGAAATCGATTCTCAGTAACGGTAAAAGTCGATGACAAGAACGCTCATGAAGTTAATGTGTACATCATGACGGGACAACGGCATGCAAAGGAGATGACACTTTTTTCATTTTCTTCTTTTCCAAACTTGAGGAGGGCAGGTAGGGCTGTGATAATAGCGTCAACGTGTCGTACTGTTTTGTCGAGTACAGCGTGCGTTGCTAGACATCAGTACCAGTAGATGGCCTCATTGCCGCACCCCCTCCTCCTGCTCATCTAGTCATCGTCGTCTCTGTTCGGTCGCAGGGTTGTTCACCTTTTCTTTCCACTTGCTTCTTGCGCTTTGTCTCCTGTGCGTGGCGATACGCGTCCGCGGCACCCACATATGATAGGCGATCGAGTTCTACGGGGAATCTAAGATTCGGCGGCGGCAGCAGGTCGACACCCTGGATCACTGCACGCTTAGGGTGAGTTGGACATCCTCACCTTGAGAAAAAACAGTAGTCTGGTTTGCTCCTTGAGCAGGACGGCCTCTCCTCTGCGATTGATACGAAGTGTCGACTGTTGGCACGACCGTCTTGCTCAGGACATGGGACAACGATAAGTTGTGTAGAAAATGACAACTTCTTAAGTTCCAAAGCCCAGTAGAAGCCATTCGTCAAAGGTAGAACAAAGGGCGCCCTGGTCCTCCTGCCGTCTCCCTGTATTGTTTCACGTGTCGCTCCGTTTCCGGTGGGCTTTCGCGGCATTTCGTCTTCGTGCCCGTGCATATTTTTTTTTCTGGCAATGTGTTTGTTTTCTCTCCTTCCTTCGGTTGCTTGATGTGTGCTGTGTTTGATGTCGATGACGGGGGCGTTGTTGCTTGAGCAGGAGTGCAGCATTTCCAAAGCTGGGGAGCTGCCGGCGTTGGCGGAGGCCGCCGGTGCTTTCGTGAACGTGGACTTGAAGGCCAACCTGCTGTCCGACTGGCAAGAGGTAAGAAGAGGAGAGAAAAGTCTTGATGTTGGTCTTGGTTGAATGGCTGGCTGTTTGCGACAAGGGTTGTACCGGTTGAAATAAACACACAATTATCATCTTCTACCTGTGGATGTTTGCTTTTTTTTTGGGGGGGGGGGGGGCGGGGGGGGCAGACCAAACGGCGATGGTGATGTTTTTTGTGCCATGGTGTTGACGAGTGTGGTGGTGTCGTTGCTGGTTGTATCGGCACCCAGAGCCCAACCTGCTGTTGTTCAAGTGGCCATGTCAACTGAACGGCCCGCTACTTATTGTATGATGTGTGAAGCTACTGAGGGCGGGTCACTGCTGTGAGTGTTATGTTAGCGTTTTCTTTTGTGGCAGTTTTTGTTGTGTTTGGTAGGCGTTTGTGCTGGTGTGTTTTAGTTGAGCGTTGTGTGCGCTGGTGGTCGGTCCCCGGCCCGGAATTCAGATCGCGTGTATCACGTGTCGCCTTTTGAAAGGGGTTCCCACGACCCACAACGGACTTGCCTGGAAGCGAGTAGAATAGCACCACCGACGGCATAGTAAGTCATGTCATGTCGACATCGACAGAGGTACGGGGAAACATGAGCAACACGCCACAGGATGTCGAGATGAGCATGATGCGATGCAACAGGCGCAGCAGCATCTGCAGCGTCAAAGTCCGCACCGACATGAGATGAGGGCCCCGCCCTAGCACCGGTGGTGTCTCCGCTAGATGTGGTCGGGCCAAGAGACGACTTCTCCGCTTCAGCATGATTGCTACCCTAGAAGTGGTCGAGCCATGGGACGACTCCTCTTGTTGAGCATGATTACTCTGCTTCTCGTTGTCAGTGTTGTCTAGCTCGAGTTTTGGCCCTTCCGGGCATAGTTTGCATGGATCCCTGCTGTTGCACCCGTTTTTGAACCCCCTTGTTTCTTCCGCCGTGAATTTGTTCATGTGTGTTGCGTGTGTCGTTCTTTTTTTTTCTTGGCGCCGTTCGCCACAAGTAGGTGGGCCTCATCGCATCGCAGACGAAGCTATTGGAGATCCTTTCTGTTGGGAGCAACATGTTTAAAACGCCAGATGGGGTTCCACCCTCCCTGTCAAGGTGCCAGTGCTTTTGGAGGCTTGTGCTGGCTCTTTCGTCGCGCCTATCTTACCTTATCCGTTACAGTGGTCACTTTTACCATTTATGCTGCTGCTGCTGCTGCTGCTGCTGCTGCTGCTGCTGCTGCTGCCACTGCCGCTGCTCATGCTGGAGCTGTTCTCCCGTAGCCTCTGTCAGTGCCTTTTTCGCTTCCATCAGTTTTCTGTTCCCTCTCGCATTTGTATTTTGATTCTTTCATGGGTCCTACATGCTCTGTCTATTGTATCGCCCCAATGAAACCCTAAAGCTCCCTTTCCTTTCTTTTCTGCTTTTGTTGACGCTATTTGCGCCTGCAGCGGAGCTTGTGATCGCCTTCGAGTGTTGGAGATAACATCCTGTGGCATCACCTCCTGGTCACAGGTGTGTGTGTGTATGTGTGTTTTTTTTTTGTCGCGGTTGTCGTGGCGATGGGGTACCCGTTCGTGCTGGGTGTTTTACCATGTGGTCTTCCCATGCCAAAGTTGGTGACGTTGGCGATGGCTTGGCGGCAACGAACCGTGGCCGACATGGAAGTATTTTTAGCACAGAACCCGCGTGGTGCCTTTTTTTTTATGTATTGTGTATTTGTACACATAGAGACAAAAGCAAGTTGGGGGTCTGAAATATGAGGAGAAGCTGTTGTAGAGAGCGGGGAGGAGGAGGAAACCGTCGTATTTCCGGCAACGGTGGTGGTGCCTACCCCCCGAGGCACGGCATACGATGCGCACGTCCTCTGCCGCTCCGTTGCTCCATCGCTCACGTCTAAAACGCCCAAGAGAACTCGTGTCTGGAGCTGATGGGCTTTCTCGTCTTCGTGCAGCCTTGCGATTGAATAGGAAGCATGCGCGCTTCCGCTTACACAATGAGACCCCAACTACCTACTACTATTACGTGCGGATGGCACCACCGCCGTCACCCTCTTTCCTGCGTCTCTGCTGTACCCTTCCCGCACTCGGGTGATGACTGGCTGCAGGTGGCGATGCTCGGAGAGTGGGCTCCGTCGCTGGAGGAGCTCTACGCCGCGGACAATAACGTTTCGGATGTAACCGCCGTCGTAGCACTACCGACGAGCGGGAACGGGCACCCTAGCGGGGAGAAGGGAGTAGGGGGGTTCCGCCGCTTGATTGCGCTCGACCTTTCGGAGACGGAGCTGACTTCTTGGGACCAGGTTGTTCCTTGTAGTAGTTGGTTGTCGTTGTCGTTGTCGTTGTTGTCGTTGTCGTTGTTAGTGTTGTTGCCGATACCACTGTCTTCGTACCATGAAGCTTCACCCTAGATCAACGTCCTGACTTCATCGTATTCCTCTTCCTAGAAATAGCCATTTTCCACACTACTGCAGCATTACGATCCAATCGGTGTGAATGGAGTCGAGTCCTTCCGTCGTGTTGTTGTCTCAATGGACCACCGTCCCTTGTTCGTGATGACGCGGGCGAAACACGGTTCCATCCAAAGCCTGTCCATTGCCACCCCTTCCAGTCCTCCTCATGTGACGTCTTCTTCTGTTTGTGGCCTTCTCTTCTCTTCTGTTCTGTTCTCTTCTCTTCTCTTCTCCGCGTGTGCGTGTGCGTGTTAACGTCTGAGGGAGCAGGTCGCGTGCTTCTCGGCCCTTCCGGCCCTGTCCACCCTCCTCCTCAACCACAACCGGGTGACCGACGTCGACCTCATCGTTTCAACTTCATCTTCAACCTCGGCGGCGGCAGCAGAATCGGACGGTACTAACCCCGGCCCAGTCTCCGGAGATCAAGTAGAGGGAGACGCAGGCGGAAAACACTGCCACAATGACGGCAAGGGTGGTGCTGCCTCTTCGGGCATCGCTCCACCCTTCGCGGCCCTTTCGGCGATCTCGCTAAGCGGCAACCGGATAGGGGACTGGGGGGCGGTCGACCGTCTGGCGGGCCTGCCGTCCCTGCGCTCGCTGCGGTTCAGCGGCAATCCGGTCACGTCTGGCCTAGGAGCATCGGAGGTGATGATCTCGCGGCTTTAGCCTTTACTAGTGTGCTCATTTCTGGCTTCCTTCCGGCCGGTCGCCTTTCGACCTCACTGCCGAAAGATAGTGGAAAAAGTCCGTACCCTCGTCTCCTATTTCTGCTGTGACACTAGTGCTGCCTATTTGGGCGCTCTAGTTGTCGGTATCACCTTCCTTTCGACCTCTCCACCGAACAAACGTAGAAAAGGCCGAACACTCGTCCTCAAACCATACTGCCGTGACATCAGTCCGTTGTATTTTTACAGCCCATTTCTCGCTTCTTGAGCCCTATCGAAGCAGACAGAGTGATGCTGCGGTTGATGGGCCACCTCATCTTCCAATTTTGGTGTTGCAACGTATAGCTGTGTGATCACCGAAATAGGACTAAATGTTTTCTCCCAAAGTGAAAGATGTCACCCGAAAGGTGCACACCCCCTACCGAGCATCACTCGACAGCCTTGTTCCCGTTGTCACATCTGCGATGATCTGAGCGTCTCTCACTCGTCTGGATTTTTTTTTGTTTTCGGTTCGGAGTACGGGCGTTGGGGTGTTCGTGTTGGATGGCATCAGGGCGACTCACTGAGATTGGCGCCTGTAGGAGTAAGAGAAAGTAATGGCGTGGAAGAGGGAGAGAAGAGAAGAGAATAGGAAAGAAGAGAATAGGAAAGAAGAGAAGAGAATAGAAGGTTGTTGTTGTCCGCGGAAGAGGTGTGCCTGGCAAAGGGATTGGGAAAAAAACAACCGCAGCATCGCCCTAACGCTGAACATGTTGCTTCAAGATCACCCGCTTCCCTGGTAAGGCAACGGCGAAGACTCGGGGAGGTCTTGGGGTCCAACCTAGACAGTCGATCGCCATTGTAGTCCTCGTTTCCGATGTCTTCATTGCTCTTTCCCTATCTCCCTCTCTCTTTCTCTCTCGGGGCCTGTCTGTTGTTGGTGGTGGATGTACCCCACCCCCTCTTTGGTGTTCGTGTATGAAGTAAAACCTGCTCAGGAAATAAAACCAGCACAAGAGAAAAGGTCATATAAAATTGTAGTTCCTCGTTCAGAAAAAATAAGAAAGGAAGAAGCTAAAGCGAAATTAGATTTAGACAAATTATTACAGCAAAAGCAAGAAAGTAATTAACTTTAGATAGAACAAGCACAATTTAATTAAGTTTTAGTACCGCGTACCAGTAGGTAAAAGGGATTTTTCCATTGGAAAAAATCCTAACCCTGCTTCTATTAAATGGAAATAAATAAAAAATTATGCATGATAATTACTTTATTATCATGTATTATTTTGGTCAAATTAGACTTTTGTGACTTGCTGATCTGATTGTATACCCCCCCCCCGCCCCCCA